GGGGGGGGGGTCAGCACAGGAGGGGAAGGGGGCAGGCCAGGAGATGCGGGGAGGGGTTGGGGAGGGGACCAGGTGAACAGGACCGCTGGGCGGACACCCTGCTCACAGGGTGGCTCCAGGGTTCGAGCCCACGGAGCCTGCCGGGCACACCCCCCAGGCCACAGCAGATGCCTCAGGTTCCGGTGAGCCCTGAGCCCCCGGCCCACAAGGTGGTGGGCGCTGGGGGAGGAGGGGCGGCTGCCCGGCATGCTGGGTAACCGCATGCAAAGGAACAGGCCTCTCGTGACCCCCCACCCCAGCAGGCCCGACATCAGGGCCCCTCTGTGGCAACAGGCCCTGCACAAGGTGTTCCCCCACCAGGAAGTCCATCTCCCAGGAAATTACTGCTTGACTTCTACGTCCTCTCCTCCAGGCAGCCCCCCATGCTGCCCACCTGATGCAGCCACCTTAGCTTTCCTTCTGCAGATCTGCCTGCCCAGAGGGCCCAGGGCGGTGTGGGGACACAGGCCCGGGGGTCCAGGCCCCTCTGGGGCATGCTCTGCCCCCACCCCTAGCCTCAGTTTCCCCACAGGGGATGGGGCTTGGCATGAAAAACCCCCTCAGGCCCTCCCTCCCTCAGCTCAGCTCAGCGGTGCCCTGGGTTCGACCCCCAGCCACACCCTTCCATTCTGTGTGACCCCAGCAGGTCCCATGCCCTCCCTGGGGGGCCTCCAGAATCCCACATCTGCTCCCCGTGCTCCTGGTTACCCCCAGGTCCCCCCACCCTGACACCTCCGCCCCCCAGCCCTGCCTCCCAGCCTTGGCCCCGGAGTCCCCCCGACTCTCACGCAGCCTGCGCCCCGACCCAGCCTCGTCTGGCGAGGATGGAGGTCAGCTGAGCAAGGGACCGGCGCCTCCCCTCCCATCACTGCCTCGGGCTACGGCACCAGGAGCCCTCAGATCTCCCAGACGTGGTCCCCCGGGGCCCTGTCATGTAAACGCGGCCTGGACCAAGGGGGGACAAGGGGGGCCTCCCGAGAGGGGCTTATTAGCACATAAAAGGCCCGAGCAGCGGAGGGTTGGGGGGCAGCCTCCCCAGGCTGCCCCCGCCTCCTCCCTCCCTGCACAGGCAGGGAAACTGAGGCCCAGCCGGGGTCGGCAGCAGGGAGGGCGCAGGCTGCTCGGATCCCAGCCCCGCCGCTGCCTCTGCACCCCCCGTGCCAGCCGCCCAGCCCGCGGGAGGGAGCGCGGCGCAGCCCCCATGCCGGGCACACTAATTGGCACAGCCAGCACCTGAGGGGGCGGCTGGATGATCAGATCCCATCGGCTGGCCCCCGCCGCCCGAGATGCCGCGCCGGGGCGGGGGGAGGCGAGGGCTCCTGGGTCCCAGAGGCGGGAGTGAGGCAGACAGGACACCTTGCTCACTCGTGCCTTAGTTTCCCCACTAGTCACCAGAAATCCCCTGATGATTTCGAGTCTGTGGCTGAGGTCGAGGCTGGTAGAATTTCACGTCCGGGAGTCGGGGGAGCAGATTCGCCCCCAGCCCCTTCCCGGTTCTGTCGGGGTCGCCCCAGGATGGGGAGCTCACCCCGCTCCCACGGAGGCAGGAAGGTGTCTGCAGAATAAACATGTCTGAGAGTGAGACGGGGGCAGCGGGGTCAGCAGGGGGCGAGGAACCGCGTCGCTCTGGGCTCAGAGGCGCTTTCCAGCCCAGCTGGGTCTCTCGGTTCAGCCAAACTCAAAGCCTCAGTTTTCCACTCTGTGCAGTGGGGACGGTCCTCAAGGCTGACGGGAGAACTCTGGGCGTGCATACAGCAGGCGCTGCACAGATGCGGGGTGGCCCCGGGTCAGGCTGGAACCCCGACCAGTCTCGGACCCTGCACATCCCTCTGGCTGCCCCACGGCCGGCTGGCACAGGTGTCTCATTGACCAGCTGCGTCCTCCGGCTCCCTGGGCGCGATCGATGCAGGAGCCGCTCTAAGCTTTTTGAAAAGTCATCTTTGCTCCTTCCCGGCCCCACTGAAAGCCCCATTGATCAGCCGATCGATGATGGCGCGGCCAAGCGCCCCCGGGACCCGCCGCACCCAGGCTGGGCTCTGCGGGGGAGGCCACGATGGGGGAGCCGCGGGTGGGGGAGGGGCTGAGCTGGGGGCACCGCCGTCCCAGCCCCCGTCCCCCCCCAAGCCTCAGTTTCCCCTCTCGTCCCTGGCATGATGCCTGGGGACGCGCACTCGGCCTGAAAGAGCAGAACTGGGCTCTCTAAGGCCTTTCTCGAGATGGGAATGGACGGAGGGTGGCCTGCAGCCTCTGCCTGTGTCTCCCCGGTTACCGTGCCTTCCCTCGCCTGCATCCGACACCACCATTATCCCCCGTCCCAGTTCATCTTCTGAAAAACAGCAGAGACCGAGGCTGTTCTGCTGGCTCAGAGGCTGGACGTCCGGCCCCACCAGGCTGGCCATACTCTTGGCCTCCCAAAATCCAGAGCTCGCTCTTCTGAATATAAGTCAGATCCTGTCACCCGCTGGCTCAAAGCTCCCCGTTAGCTCCCCATCGCTCAGAATAAAACTCACACCCAGCCCATGAAGCCCCGTGTGGCCTTGCGGCCCCAACCCTCATCACTCTCTGTCTCCCCAGCTCACCCCTTCCAGCCACACCAGTCTCCTGGTTGTTCCTTTTCCCACCCCAGGGCCTTTGCACACATTGTTCCCTGCCTGGCATGCTTTTCCCTGCCTCCCCCACCTCATCACATATCTCCTTCCAACATCATCACATTTATACCTTTACAAAGTCCGCTGTCTGCCCTCCGGGACTGTGGGGGTCGGTCTCCTTCTCCACTCCTGCCCCCATGCCAGCACAGGCCCCGTACACAATGGCACTCAATACATGTTTGTTGGTCAAACAAAAGCCGATGATTTCAGATCTTGGAGGCACTAGAGTTGTGGGGAGCAGAGAGCAGCCGCCACATTGGGGGGCAAGGACCCCAGGCAGGGAGATCCCAGGAGAAGCACCGCCACCCAAGCTCTGGCCACCTAAGTGGGCCATTTCTCTCCCCTCCCGGCTCTAAAATAGCCACAGCCTTGCTGCGTTGGCATTCTCGGTTCCAAGTTGGCGGGGGAGCCAGGGGCAGGCGCCTCGCCCCCACTCGGGGTGGCGCCTGTGCGCTGAAGGGGGCCCAGCCCAACACCGAGCCCGGCAGGAGGGAGACAAAGCCCTCGTGTCCTCCATCAGTGCCAAAGCCCGATATGCAGATGCTCCGCGGGAGTGGCAGATAGAGATCGAAATTCTCACTAAGGGGTTAATGACTGACTCGGGATGGTTCCCAGACAGAGGGCTCCCCGCCCCCGCCGGCCACACCTTTGCCCCCACTCACCCTGCCCTGCTGGCCTCGTGCCAGTGTCCACTCCTCCAGGCAGCCCTCCCAGCCCCGACGGACCCTCGCCCGCCCATCAGGGCTCCCCGACCTGCCCTCCCCAGCCACCCTCTCCCGGCAACCCCCCGGCCCGCAGCTAATTAGCTCCAACTGGGCAACTGTTGAGTCATTAGACGCTAATAGCAAAGCAACTAATTAGGAGTCTCACCCAGGATGGGGGTAGGGGGCCGTGCCGCCTCCCCAGACTGGAAACTGAGGCACGGGTGGGCCCTGTGCGCCCATCCTGCCCCCAGGGGGGTCCGGGCCTCTCGTGTTCTGGCTCTGAGCCCCTTCACAGCTCCCAGGCAAGGGCCCGAGACGCCTGCGAAGAGCCCAGCAGAGCACGAACCCAGGCTGGCCCCCCGAGGGGGCAGTGGACCCCCAGGCCTCGGCACCCACCCTCAGCTTTCTGAGGGGCCAAGAAGACACTTCCCCATCCGACGCCCAGCCGTCATCCTCCTGTGGGGGGCCAGGCGGGACCCCAGGGAAAGCTGGACCCCCAGGGTGGTGCTGGGTCAACCCGAGAAAGATCAAGTATGGCCTTGTGGGTGGAGGGGGTAAACTGAGGCAAGATCCAGCGCTGAAGCAACAGAGAAAGAATGAACAGGGTGGGCACAAAAGGGAGGGTGGGCCGCAGGGTCAGCCCCCCACCACTCCGGGGCCTCGGTCTCCAGCAAGACGCAGCTGGGAACACAGTCCACAGGGCCGCCTGTCTCCCCCGCCCCCACAACGTTCGCAGTGTCCCTGACACTCCTCGGACGGCCCCAGACGTGCTGCCTCCTGGAGGAGGGGGCCGCCCCGATGGGGCCCCCTGTCCCTGTGGCCGTGAATGAGTCACCTTATCGGGGTCCATGAAACGGGGGCATAATGCGGGACCCACGTGTTGGCTGGAGTGGGGCGACTGAGGGGTAACGTGGACCACTTGGTGAACGGCGCCCCTCGAAACCAAGGCCTCCGGGCCTGACGGGGAGACTGAGGCACGGCGCTGAGCACCCCCGCGAGCCCCCGGCCGCAGGGTCCAAAGTCTGGTCGAGGTGGAAAGAAGACCCCGCTGGTTTCTGCGCGCACGCGCACCGGGCTTTCATCCGCGTGTCTGGGATGGGGCGGCCTGGGGGTGGCTCTGGCCCCTTCTCCCGGCATGGCCACCTGGTGGGGACACGGCCAGGCTCCCCCTCCGGACCCATCTCCCGAGGAGAAAAGTCCCCCAGCAACACCGAGGGGCGCAGTCGGCCGTGTCCCCAACCCCGAGCAGGAGAGAAGGGCAAGGGGGGTCACGGAGAAAACACGGCCGTGGGGGGAGGCCCCCTCCCCGGGCCTGGCTCAGGGGCTGAGGAACCGTCGATGAAAGGAAGTCATCGCCCTGAGAAAACACGGCCTCCCAGCCCCCCGTTAACGCACCTGCCGTCCCGAGAACTACCGTCACCTCCACCTGTGACCCTGTGGCGGACACATCTGCTGGGGGCCCGGAGGTCACAGGCGGCCAGCCCCTCCCGGCCGCCCCCCAGGCAGGTGGAGGCTGAGGGTCCCCCGGCGCATCCACCATGGAGGCCGCCCAGGGCAGTTCATGGCGGGAGGACCAAGGCCGGGGACAGGAGAGACTCGCCCGCCCACCAGAGCCCAGGCAGCCTGCACACCCAGCTCAGACCCCACGGAGGAAGACCCAGCCTCCTGGGGGGGCGTCTCAGAGCCAGACCCCCAGCCCCCGGCACTGCTGGTGGCCCCTGGTGTGTGGGTCGGGCTGGAACGTCGCTGTCACCACAGATTGGGAGGCCCAAGCCCAGAAGACCCTCCTCTCGCCCGCAGGAGCTGCCTCAGTTTCCCCTCTCCGTTGCCAGCCTCCCTCTGTGCCCCCCGGAGCAGGCGTGCGCCTGCCCATCCACCCCGGGCCCTGCCGCGCGGCACAGCCCGCCGGCCCCACTCCACGGAGAAGACACGGGGGCTCCGGGCAGCCGAGCCGCCCACCTGGGGTCACCCCCAGGTTTCGGGGACCCCCAAATCTGAGCCTGGACCCCGCACAGCCCCCCAGACCCCACTCTCCGGCCCCGAGTCCCCCACACCTGCCGTGCCTCGCTCTCCAAGCCCCCAAAGCCAGGTGGACGAGCTTCTCTCAAACAAAACAAAAAACCCTCATGCAGCAAAACCTGCCATCGCCCCTTCAAAGCCGGTCCCCCGGAGGCGGGCAAGGCAGGCAGGGCCATGGGGACCCATGACGCCCCATCACCTCCACCACGGGGAAAAGGCTTCCCGAGGTGCCATGTTTATGTCCCCGTCATCGGAGAGGGGACCGCTGTGCAGGGGGCACCCGGGGGGGGGATGGGCCTGCGGGGGTCCGGGGGCAGGCGCCGTAGCCTGAGACGCGCAGAGCCCCCACCCGGGTCAGCACGGCTGGGTCCATTGGGCTGCGGGTTTCCAGTAGGGTGGTGACTCTCAGGGACAGAGGGCGCCCCGCGTGGTGCCCACTCCCGGCCTCGATGGCCCCTCTGCACCAAGGGCAGCCCGGGACCCACAGGACCTGGACACGTCTCCCCTGCAGGGACCCACCCAGCTAGAGGAGGGCGTGAAGGAGGAGCCGGCCAGGGAGGGCAGGCTGTGCCATCGTCGATGTGGACCGTCCGCTCTCCCACGGAGGCCCCGGACAGGCAGAGGCAAGCTGCACACCAGACGCGAGTGCACAGACACGCTAAAGACGCACACGTGCTCCCCGTGCACAGATATGCACACGCAGATACGCCAGCACCTTCCACACGCAGACATACCACCACATGCATTCCACACGCAGACTCGCTCCTGCAAACGTGCGCGTGCACCCTCCACACGCACGCACTCCAGGCACAGGCATGCACACACACATGTGCCAACACGCCAGGCCACCATGCAGCAGCAGGCACACGCATCACCCTGCCACACACACACGCGTGCGCACCACACACAGACGCGCACCTCCTGGGGTCCCCAGGACCCCCGCGTGTCACGGACGAGCACACGCGGCGACATGTGCACACACGCCCTGCAGCCCAGGGAGGCTCCCAGTCGCCCCCGCACCCCCACATATGCATATGCACACACGACCCCACGCTCGGCCCCGAGGCCGGACCCGGTGAGGGCAGCTGGACCGGGACCCCCGGCCCAGCCCAGCCTGGCTCAGGACAGGCCCAGAGATGCCCGGCGGCCGGCCCAGGGGTGCCCAGCCCAGGCAGGGGCGGCTCAGACAGATGGTTGGACAGCTGGCCGGTGGGGGTTCCAGGGCCGCTGGCTGGACCAGGTGATGGATCCCCACCCCTTGGCGGTGGATGAGGTGGGTATGGGGCTCCCCCAGCGACGCCCGCCAGCCGCGTGTGCGTAAAAATGCTTGGCACAGCAGGAGGATGCGATCTGGGAGACAGTCACATACTCGTTACCTCGCCGCAGGTACCAGGCCAGCCGGCGAGAGTGGCCAGCCTCAGTGCGGCACCGCCCGTGCCTGCATGTCCCCATCCGAGCACGTCCATCCCTCCAGGTCCTTCACTGCCCGTTCTCCCCACACCGAGCTGCCCACTCTGGCGCTGCCCCTTCCCCCCGGTGCCTTTTGTGTGCACGGTCTCCCAGGCACGGCCCTCTGTCCCTGCATTCTCCTCCACCTGCCGCCGCCACCAATTTCTCTGTTTCCACCCCATCCTCGTCTCTCCCCACCCAGGCCTGTCTCTGTCTCTGCCCGTGGAGCCGCCTCCGCGTCAGGCCTCCTCACCCACCCTGCGCCTCTCCCCCAGCCAGTGTCTCCGGGACAGGGCGCCCTCGGGATATCTCCACTCCTGGGTGCCCCAGATGCCGAGGCCCACGCCACCCTTCCCTCCCCGCCCGGCCGCAGGTTGCGGTCCAGCCACCCCAGGCGTGAAACCTCTGGAGGGGTCCCCGGGTCGCCGAGGCCCCCTGTGGCAGAGCCCCCAACCTCGGTGACAAATGGAGCCCCAATTCTGGACCGATCCGGGCTTCCTAGGCGAGGTGATCACCTGGGCCCTGGGCCCCATCACAAGATGTCAGGGACATCAGGCCCCAGGTGGGAGAAGGAAAGGAGGGTGAGGAAGGCCCTGGCTGCCAGGGTCTGCACCGGACAAGCAAGGCCGTCCCCTCGGGCAGCTGGTCAGAGCAGAGCTGTCGAGTCAGCAACAGGAGGTGGCCGAGTAGCCGGCCAGAGCCAGGCACCGGGGCCGCCTCCTTCTCCTGCCCGGGGTCCTGCCCGCGGCCCGTGGCTCCATGGCAGGGGGGCAGCAGGCGGCCTGAACGACCCCCTTCCATCCCCGTTGCAGGCTCCTCGTGTGTGGCGTTTGCTAGAACAAAGGACAGGCCACACTGGGGACGGAGACTCCACAGCTGAAACCAAAAACTTGGGCCGGGGAAGCGCTGCCCGCTGGGCTCCCCGCTTGGCCGCAGGGAAGAGCCTTAATCAAAGCCACATGTGACCAGCAGGGCGGGCTGTGCGGGGGACCGGCTCCGAGGTGGCCCGGCCGTCCCTCCGCGGCCCAGGGTCTCTGCCCTCGGCCCCGGGGCCAACCCCACAGCCGGGCGGCCAAGGGGGGTGTCTGGGCGCGCTCCCTGCCCCCACGGCGGACATTGGCCACCCTTGTCCCCGAGCCCGCCTCAAAGATGGCCCTTTATGCAACTTTCCGCCCAGGACCGGGGACGGCAGGGGACAGCGGAACGACGGCGGGCTCCGGAGGGCAGCTCAGCCGGCGCTTGAGAGCGGAGAGAAAGTGACCGGTGGCAGAGGAGCAGGGCGGGGAGGTCTGCAGCGCAGCCCCCACGGGAACACCGCGTGACCCTGAATGCGGCTGAACCTGGAGCCCCATCTCCCACGGGACCCTCAGACAGCTCCGGCATCCGAGACCCCGGGATGGCCCAGAAGCTTCTGCCGATGTCCAGGATGTGGTCAGCCACCAGCAAACTTTTCTTGATCCGACTAATGGGGGCTTCTGCTGCCCCCCAAACTGTACTCAGCACCCGGCACTGAAGATGTTGTGTGGGCGGGCGGGGCACCTGGGCTGGGCGTGGCAGGCTAGACATGAGGCCACCTGGGTCCCTGCCCCAGCTCTGCTCCCCTCGCCGTGACCTTGAACCAGCCACTCGTCCCCTCTGCGCCTCAGTTTCCCCATCAGTGCCAGGAGAACAGGAGAGGACACTGCTCGGTGGAGACTCTCAGGACTGGTCCCCAGCCCCTTCGGTGCTTCAGTCTCCCCATCCCCACGAAGCCGGGACCAGGGCCCCTCGAGAGCGAAAGGCAGAGGCAGCTCGGCTGGTAAGGACATTCCAACTTCCCCAAGTTCATCTGGGGACCCACCAGCAGTACGCATCCCTGGAACCCTTGTCCCCGGGGGGCCCCCACCTCCGGGCGCAGCTCAGCGCCAACGTTCCTGGGGATCCCCGCCAACTCCAAAGCTGGCAGGGTCCCTGGAGAGGCCAGAAAATGGGGGTCCCCCAAGTCCGGGTAGGAAACTCAGGTCTGCACGACTTCTGAGGGTGCCAGAAGGCTTCCCCAAACTCCGGGGGCCGGCGCGCTCTGGGGCACGCCGGGCGCAAGTCCCCCAAGTCTGCACGGCAGTGGGGCGCCCTGAGGGAGAATGCACGAGCCGCGGGGTCCCCCGAATTCCGGGGCCTGGAACTCCCCGAGGGCTCCCACGGGAGCCGGGCGCCCC